CCCCCCCCCCCCGGCCTCAAGCGCCAAATAGTGTAGGAACAGTCCGGCCACCACACACTGCCAACTGTCTGCGCTCAGGAGAGCTAGTGAATGGTCAAGCTGGTGCTAGATTTTTGCTGCAAAGCCAACCATAATCTAATGTCCATGTTAAGCTATAGGTATAATTGGCTAACCTGGGCAGATAGATCGCAGTCTGGTGGTTTGAATGAGGATAGGTTGGCTACTCCCTATCTACATCAACCTTATCAGCCTACCACTAGCTGGATGTGGAGCCCAATAATAACAAAGTAGCAAATGAAAGGCGATTCTAAGGGACTGCTAAAGAACACAATATTCAACCTTTTGCAGCATCTCACAAGGCGCGAGACCTATACTGCGGATGAAACTTAAAAAACCTTGGCAAAAAACTGGCCTGTGATGCACAAAGAAATGCCTGCCCTGTGCCGATAGTGCTGGAATATGCAATTTCCTTACAATTCAGGTTTGCTTTCATTATACTTACATTGAAAACATATAAAACTGATATAGACTGTACCTGTTTCTTGGAAATCACCAATTTCTCAACTGGCTGTGGCTGCTTGAAGATCTGGATCTCTTCTATGATATGAACTTGGGATTTGATGACCACTGCTTTGTGAATCCATCCATTATCTGCATTAATAAAAGCATCAGGAACATCAGACACCAAACCAGCAGTTTATCACACACTGACTCTGCAGACTAACATTTGTAATTTTTGCATTTATGTGTACCAAATTCATCATTGCACTTACATCTTCTAAACCAGAGCCATGTACGAGAACCACTGAGTGCAATTGTTTTATATCAATGTAGCAGTACTTCTGATCTGCTGGGAGGAGGTTTTATTAATCAAAATATGATCTTAGATTATAGGTAGCTTTATTATCTCTCAGTTTCTACTACAAATCTTTCAGTCATCAATCCAACAGACAGCAAACCAAAAGACTGCTTCCCAATTGTGTACACAACTAGTCATTGCAAACAGTTTTTACATAGTGGAGAACCTTCCAATATGCGTTTGATAAAAATCCACACTTTCAAGGCTCCTATCTGCTAAGAAATGTTTCATTATACAGACCTGTGCCAAGAAACAAGACATCATATTGCTCCTTATCCAGAGCTGTGATTCTGTCTGCCGCAATCTGGGTGTAAATGATGTTCTTCTTCATGAGGATTGGCTGCTTATCAATAGACTTCACTGACTCAGCCATGAGAGGATGGAGTTTCACAAAATCCAGGACATTATTGGGAAGATCCTGGGAAGTGGTGTAATTGCTGTTTCGCTGTTCATTTGTAATACACTGTGGAATGAAAAGGTAGAATATTTAATGTATTAGTTCTCTAGACAATTGCTGCTGATGCTTTAATTTGTTCATCTATACCGTTTTCTTTACTTTCAGGTAACTGCTCAATTTGGATTTGGACAAATACAAGAAGAAATCTCTAAACCAGCAACGTTTTGAAGGCATTGAAACAATTATTTATGAAGACAAAGATGTGTGCATTAGAAAGGAATTAGGGATCTAGTCCTGATCCCCTCCCCCAGCATGGCAGTGACATTAAACATGGAAGTGTTCAGCCAGCAGAACATCAGTAAACATGACGCCCCTGTTCCTTGTTCTCCATCCATGGAATCCTGAACAAAGGGATCGGTATTGAGATTGGTGAAACGACAGGACATCGGTCTCATTGCTGGAGGTGAGGTGGCAGGGACAGGAAGGGTGGGGGTTCAGCTCTAACAGTGATCACATGCCTATGCAGCAACCTAGGTAGGTCACTTCTACTTGCAAAGCAGTATTCTCATTTCAACCCCTTTATTATCATTACATATTCCCTGTAACATTGGCTCCTAGAATTTGTACAGCCATCATGTATGGTATATATCTTTGGCAGTTAAAGGGTTTCAGTGTAATGACACTGTTGCTAAATATTTGATATTTCTACAGCCTATGAATTTTTTTTATTATAATGACTTAGTCCTGTCCTATCCAGAGGACCTGTTTTCAACAATATTTTCTGCAGCCTCCTGGCTCTGAGTACATCCTACTGTGCTCTGAAAACCCTACTCCAGATAAATAGACTAATTCAGCCCAATGCAGAGTATTTCTCCCGTCCCCAAACACTACCCTCTAGTGGTGGCCAAGAACAGTGCGTTCACAACCAAGATCGATTCAAACTAGGGAAGGTCAGATACCAGTTCAGATAATTGGCATTTTTATGAGCACTACCGGGGTCGCAGAAGTTGCAGCTATGACTGGGCCCTGGCGCTCCACCACTTTCCTGAAATCATTAGTCTGTATTATTTTAGAAAAACAGTCACATGACAATAAACAAAAAGGTATCAGTAATTGTATCTGTAAGTACTTGGATAAGTATAAGTATTTGGTCTGAAAAAAAAACTGTATTGGTGCATTCCTAATAAATATACATATAAAACAAATCATACATTAAAAGAGGAATGTACAAATCCCAGGAGCTCCGTATGCTCCTTAAACATGACAGCTGCCTCCTAACTTTTGAGTTTTTCTCTAGTCTAGTCTTGGAGATGGAAAAGTATCTGTACTTGTACCGAGTACGGTACTCTGTATCTGAACATCCCTAATTCCAACACAGAGTCAGGTGATGCGTCTGGAAACTGCATGCATCTTTAGTAAAGGTAACCTAACATACTGGCATTTTATAGGCTGCAATGACGAGTACAAATGTATCATGTTTAGTGAAAGCGCTTTTAAATTTAAAGTTTTCAATGCATTCAGGTACCTTAACTATTAACTAAAATGTATCTTATTCATGCATCACTCGGCTGTAGATTCTCAAATCATCTCTGAATTGGTGCTGACACTGTCCTTCCTTCTGGAGGGTAGCTACCTTTGTCCCCATGGTCCCTGTGTGTGTTGTAAAGTAGCCACTGCTCCAATCTCACTTCTGTAATGGACTACAATCTCACATTTAGTTTACTAATTTGTATTGAAGTTATAGTGCATCATAGGATTGAGCTTGGAGCGGTGGCTACTTTACAGCACACACACGGACCATGGGGAACAAAAGTAGCCACCCTCCAGAAGGAAGGACAGTGTCAGCACGAATTCAGAGATGATTTGAGGATCTACAGCCGAGTGATACACAAATAAGATACATTTTGGTTAATAGCTAAATTACTTGAATGCATTTAACTCCTGAATTTAATGTCACTTTAAACCCAACAAACAAAAAATATTTATAAACATCCATGACTGTTATGAATCCTATAAAAGAAAAATGGTTAAATTGTCTGTAAGAGTTCACAATCTATCCCACTCCAAAACTGGATGTCTTTTATGACCAAGCCCCGTCCTCCTGGAATCTTTTGTTTAATGGCAACTAAAGATGCTCTTATTGGATAGGCTGGTAACATATTCCATAGCATGACTGATTAGAATAAGTAAGGCAGAATTTGTACATCCTTTTCTCTAGGTATGTCCTCATCTGTGTTAATTATGCCAATGATGCAGATTCATTTTTGCATGGTCGCCATTTGTTTTATATACACATATTATAAATGATACAAGGCTAAGAAACACTTACAGAACCTGGCCTTGGCGAAGTCCCTTGATATCGAGACCATTTCCGCAAAAGATCTTGATATTCCATGTAATCACCCTCAAATACATCGTGAATATCCGTTATGCTATACCGACAAACCGCTGAGACTTCCATTTTTCTCCTGGAAAAGACAACACAATGTCACTACTACATGTTTTGCAGCAGGGGTCATCACGTTTTTCTGAGACAACTGAACAATACATTACGTAACACAAAAAAAACCACAGGGAATTAGGGGGCACATATCAAGAGCGGAGCTAATGGCGTATATTATGGGCATTTACACAGCAGCAGTCACAAATAAGCTACATTGATGACTAGCTGAGCTGAGGCCCATGTGATTCTAAAGGGCAAGCATTGCAGTGACATAGCTAGATAGCTCCACTAATGGGCACCTCATTTTTTGAGATCACTGAACAGTGTTGCTACAACACGGATAAAGAGTGCGGAAAATGCAACAAGACAAATAAAATGACGTGAAAATGAATATTACAGGAATTTAAAACAAAACAGACACAAAAATATATTAAGAGGCATTGAGAGTGCAAAGATCAGAAAATAGCTAAAGGAACATAAACAACCCTCCACATAGTTTACAGCCTTCCAGCAACTGAGACATGGTTTATTTTTAACAGACCCATCCTCAAATGATTACTTAAAGCTATGTTTACTGTCTGGCAGGGAGGGATAAATCAAGAGTAATAAAAGCAAACCATTTTTGGTAGCAGAAATTAATAGTGCCACACAGTATTATACTGTTGCATGACTATGTTGTATAATACTATATTTCAGGCTGCGGTGCCCAATATAGTGTGCCAAGTGTCTGTTTGAGATGAGCTTATAATCAAGTTAATTCTTATTCATTTAAAGAAAAAGATGCATTTCACAGTGCTGACAACCCTGTACTGACTGGCAGGGGGAGAGCAGAAGTGACCGTTTAGCTCAGCAGTGTGTTGCGCTCCTTCAGTGCTGAAACAGTACGCTGGGGGACTAGTCAGTGACCTAGCTGTATTGCTTAAATGCATAAAACACACTGAAGTCATGAACCTGGCTATGCTGCTTGGCAGGAGTGCCTGGATCATAAGAATGGTTTAACAATCTACATTTTTGGCAGATAAGATAGTTCACATGTATATATTTTAGCTATGTATGTAGCCGTTTGCCTGGAATACAGAAACATTCTGACATTAAAAAAAAGTATTAGACAGAAAAACTTTAACATAGATCTTGTTTTATCCACATAATAACATGAACTACAGCAATACTGAATGAACGTATTATTGTCTGTTGCCATAAATGTGTTTATATCCCACTAAAATGAAAACACATACATTAATTTATTCTGATTAAGGAGAGCGGGGAAAACAAGCACATTCTACTGAGTGCTTTGCCATGCTGCATCTCAAATTCTTATTATATACAATTTAGATTAGAGCGAGGCAGCTTGTAGCTGGATGCGTAGAGAAGTGCCAAAAAGAATTACAAAGGAAGGTTTGATGTTCTGCATTATTGTGTGACAGTGCATGAGCCAACAGCTCCCTGACAGACTAGAAAATCATTCCTATTTATCTGCACAGACGGGCACTATTAACTCTTTTGCTGCCACATTAGCCTGCTGTCACTGATTCATTAAGAGATGTTGCTGTACTACAAAACTGCCAACACCACAGACATGAGATGGCAGTCTGAATAGCCTACTGCTTCAAAATGATTATGTAAAAACGATCAAGCCATTGCTACTTCTCCAGAAATCAACCTTTTAGCATCTGCAGAGGTCATGGGATGACGTTACCACATACACATTATTTTCCAAATAGTTACAGCCTAGAGGGGACAATGATCTTATATCTATCCAGTTAACAGCTTCTTTGGGGGGACAAGGACTCATATAAATGGTTCTCTCTAAAGAAATGTAGGATTTGTAGTTGCTACACTATACCACTAAAATGTTTATTGACACCTGACCATCTTGGATGGACTCACTAAAACCATGGGAAGTGATATGGAGTTGGACACCACCACCATCCTTGCAGATCTAAAAGCCTCCACTCAACTTGGTAAGTGTCCCGGAATATTGTGCATCTGTGGATATTTGTGAGAGCATGTATTGTTGTTAGATGGGAAGACCTGGCTTGCAATTGATGTTCCAGTTCCTCTCAAAAGTGTACCCATAGGGTTGAGGTCAGAGCTCTGTACAGAACACTCAAGTCCCTCAACACAAAACTTATCAAACCATTTTTTTATGGAGCTGGCTTTTTTGCACGGGGGCACAATCATGCTGGAACAGAAATGACCCTTTCCTAGCAGTTTAAGATTGGAAGCGCATAACGGTCTAAAACGCCTTTGTATACTGTAGCATTAAGGCCGGATTTACACAGTTGTGCTGCAACGCATGAAAATGTGCACTGACCATGTTGGTGTGCTGTGGTGCCATTTGTTCTTAATGGAACCGCAAGGCACCTGCGTGACAGCGCACCATAACACATAGTAGTGCACTTCTATGCAATGTGGTGTGCTGCATTAAAAAAAATGCATTCAAGTACCTTATTAACAATACTGTACCTTTTATTTGTGCATAATTTAGCTGTAGATCCTCAAATCTCTGAATTCATGCTGACATTATACTTCCTTCTGGAGGGAGGCTTTTGTGTTCTAGTTTACAGCATGAATTCAGAGATGATTTGAGGATCTACAGCCGAGTGATACACAATATAAGCTACATTTGTGTTAATAGTTGAGGTACTTGAATGCATTTTCAAGATTTAACTCCTGAGTTTAGTGTCACTTTAAGAAAGAGCAGAGGACTTTTTCAGTACATGCACTGACTATGAATATTGATTTCACAAACAATTCTGACTTTTCCGTTCTGTAGTCTCACAAAGGCTGGCCATAGACAGAGGAAGTTCCTTTAAATTATAGCACCCCAAGTAGTGCAATACCTACTGCCACTGTCCAAAACTGCTTAATGCAGGCATGGTCCATATGCTGTCAGCAACATCTCACAGGATGAGAACCATGCTTACAACATGCCTCTACTTAAACATTTCATTTTAAACATTTCATTTTAAAGTCAAGCTTCTGTGATAATCAGTTCACTTATTTAGAAAAAGATGTAAACAACTGATAGAAAATATTTAACAAACGTAACTATAATGCAGCCACTATGGGTGCTAGGGGCAGTGAGGAGGCCCCAACTAGAGCTGCAGCTAACGATTATTTTCAAAATCGGTTAGCCGATTATAAAGTTCGATTAATCGGTTAATCGGATAAACAATAAAATACATTTTTAAAAATGGCTACAGTGATAGGACTACTAGTTTGTATTGAGGTTGTAGTCCATCACAGGAGCACGCTTGGAGCGGTGGAAGTAAAAAAAATGGTGTGGTGTAACCAACCACTGAAAAGGGAGCCAGTGAGATCTGAAAACAGCAGAAGCTGTGTGGTTTGGGGATCACAGATGACCTATAGAGTTGATGGATCAGTGGTGGATGGGTTTGAACATGTATTGTAAACAGCAGAACATCCAGGCACTGAGGGTTACAGAGGACCTGGGTAGTGTGTACAATGTACTTTCTCAAACCATGTTTATCCTGTACTGTACTCCACAGATTACTGTCACTACATGATCCGCAAAGCTTAGTGTATACGATACAGACAAGCTTTCCCTGTGAGAGAAAGACCTGACCCAGGATTCTATGTGTTGGCTGCACCTGGAAAAGCCTCCATACTAAGCTGCAAAGCAGGGATCCCCCCACTCTACAGTAACCCTAGCTCAGGGGTAGGCAACCTTGGCTCTCCAGCTGTGCTTAAACTACAAATCCCATGATGCTTCTGCCTCTGGGAGTCATGCCTGTGGCTTGCAATGCCTTATGGGATTTGTAGTTTCAGCACAGCTGGAGAGCCGAGGTTGCTTACCCCTGCCCTAGCTGGTCACATTCATGTAGATCAGTCACTTGCAAAATGCTGCACCTCAGGTATTCAGGGTGGACCTCTGTCGCTAGTCTGATGGGGAAAGGCAGCATATGCAGAGCAAAGCAAAGCATTCTGTGTCTAGTTACACAAAGGAGACCTGTTGAATGACAATAACTACTTGCCTTGTTCACAAACCTGCACACAGCCACAAGGTTATAAGCAAAGCCTGAAACGGACACCTCACTATTTATAAGGCCTTGTATCAAGACCTCCTTTCACATGTTATTATTATCAAATTTTGCAGGTACTCTGGGCTAAGAGAGAGCAGGCAGGCACATTCATACTGATTATCGAGGCCTCCACTGCCTTCATCCATCTCTGCCTATACTGTCATTTTTATTTTGACTTTGAGCTGTCTAAAACCAGCGGATGGATACTGCCAATCACAAAGCAGAACAGCATTTCCCGTAAGCACTGAGTGGGTGGCCAGGAACCCATTCTTCATCAATATTGACTTGATAAATTGTAAGATATCAGCAAACAAATCCCTTCTGGGCAGGCGTCATTCATCGCAATCTTGGCAGCGTCCGCTGACAAAATTCAAATTGGGCTTTCTTTGCCAGTAATTACAAGCATCTGTTATCAGCAACATCTCCTATCCAGCACCTTCCTTCTCTGCACTGGATAAAAAAATCTTCTAGTAAGTTTACTGTCATACAGTGCATCCAACAAGCACCACACTATCACAAGAGATACAGTAAAACTATCAAAAGGTACATTTTCTATTTGGGTCTTTGACTGAAGCAATTTATTTATGCCTTCATGGTATTCAGATAATTTAAAAGCGAACTATAGGGTAACCTTTTTATTCCATTGTTCTTTTAAGGGTGATGGGAGGACACTCAGTATATGATGATGATGGGCGGACCAAACCTCAGTATATAGCGGGCTATAGCGTGTATATCTGGCTTTACACTCCTGAATTGGAACAACAGAAACAATATTACAAAAACGTACCCCCTCCTATTCTCTATAACACAGCGGGTTGTGGTTCTGTAGGCCTCAGAGATAGCCGCGAACAATATTACTGATAACAGTCAGCACGGGCCGAGAGCACAGGAAGTAATCAGCTCAGAAGAAGATTTCCGACAAGATCAACAGGTATTTTTTTTTTCCTTATCAAACAGATATAACAAAACACTTTCAATGGTATATTAACAGACCAAAAGGGACCAAAGAAGAGAAGTTCATTGTCTGGGTTTATGTGCACTTTAATGGACATGTTTTTGTCTGAAGTTAATAAGTTTCCAACTGCACATCAAGGGACCCGTTTGCTCAACTGCTTGTGACTATTCTTTTTGACTCCATCTTCCTGCTGTGATACACATGAAAATACTAACGATCCAGTTTTAGAGCATGGCTGGATGGACGAATATGATCACACTACTGGGTAATGCAGCGGTTCCCAGAAGCTACCCCTGTCTCTGTGGCCCAATTGTATCAATGGGATTAACTGCAGTTAAGATACATTATGCCCGCAAGTAGTCGCAAGAGGCAAAATACATTCTGGTCTTGCAGAGGCAGTGCTTTCATATCTCCTGGAAGGGCAATACTGGGAATCCAAAGCAGTCCAGCCTGTAAATTCCACCAACTCGCATCTGTGTTTATGACATCTGTGTAACAGTGCCAGTGAAGTCTCCATTATGCACATGGCAAGCTGCACCTATGTTTAATAACTGCTACAATGCCATCTTTAAGGAAACTTGTGCTGAGAGATGTATGAAGGCTAGCATCACTGACCTCTGCTTCTGAAAATGCACATTGCCTGGCTGTCATGCTCCTCTAATGGCCTAAGTACTTCCTGCATCCCTGACCTGAACAATTATTGCAAAATAAAGAAATAAAGAAGTTCTGACTTCACTAGCCACATGCATGTTCCAGGTCAGTGACTGAAAGTAGTAAAAAGTCAGAGAATCAAGCAGGGCTGACAAATAGGATTTTTAGAAGGACAGCAATAGCCGCTGCATTATTTCTCTTGGGACAGGTTTCCTTTAATAGAACACTGAAGCCTAGCACATATAACAGAGAGCTAAAGCCTATGTGAGCTCAAACTAGCTTTTTTGCTCCTTTCAGGGACACACCAGGGCTTCCGGCAAATGTCAGAGTTGCCAGAAAGCCGGTTAGGGCCTCTCTTTAAACATGACTAGATTACATGATACACAATACTAGCATTACAGCAGAAAGCAATCCAAATCACAGTAACGTTTGGTTAGCTTTTTATAGACCATTTATCTCCTCTGTCCCAGAAAATATTCTCCTTTGTGACAGTTTGCACATATGGAATATCTAAAATGGAAACAGAGCAGTGAGATTCCCACTGTGAAGGAGAACAGCATGCTAAAAACAATTGCTGCATAGTCAGGAAGTGGTCATGTCCCACTGATTAGACAATGCACTTAAGTAGGACTACAGGCATTTAACCATTAGCGGAGCACGGCCGTCACATTTTCAGCATCTAAAGCAACAGCTCCCATAAGCATGGAAATGCATCCATTTTGGGGTCATAGAAAAACTCTGGTTCAGCTGAGGACAGGAAGGCAGTACAAATCAATGACAGGCTGACACTATCCGTGGCTGTTCGCATGTAATCGTTCAACTATTGCTTGCATCCAGGGACAGATAAGTGGTTCTGGACACAATCTTTGCGCCCAGAGCTTCTCTTCTGTCCTTAACTGAGAAGAGTGACAGCCTATCATTGTTTTGTAAAGACTTCTATCTGAAGTTGAATGCAAACATTAGGCAGTACCCAGAAATACGCTAATCTGGGCGGTCTATGGCCCTGCACACCCGTGTGAAAGAATTAAAGAGTTGTGTTTTGCCACTATTTTATATTGAAAGACTGAAAGAAAAACTGACAAATGCATACCATTATGGTTTATTATTCTTAGGGGAAAGTGTAGGCAAACAGCTAAATACGCAGTTGAAATACATAAGTATGAAGTGACTTAACAGAGAAGAAAAGTCAAACCTTATATTGGCTTTACTTCTCTTTTGGGTCACAGGAGTACTTTTACTGATATATGTTTCACAGTATTCGAGGAGTCTGATTCAATATATCTAGTGCCTTTCCACTAAAGTACTTTGAACTGTGCAAAAAACAAAAACGTACCATTGTAAAACAAAGGCGCCATAGAAGATAGTTGTGTTCCAGGTTCCCATCTCTAGGGTGTATACGCTCTTCAAGGTTTCATAGTACGGAATGAAGCAGGCTAATCGTGCCTTTAGGAATGAAGTCCACTTCCTCTGCAAGATCTTCTTCCCTCCCATGTCACTCTGGAAATATAAAGAAATGATTATGTTTCTAAATAGTAATTATGGAAAAAGTGGGAGAGTTGCTGATAAATGTTGATGAAACCAAAATGCCACTGTAGGATCTACACAATACCTAAAAACATGAAACATTTAAAGAATGTGTCAAGGTAAAAACATATTTGATAAATCCATAGAATAAATTCTCCTTTCCCTATGTTTTATCCCTTTAAACACAAAGTGCCATGGCAACAGGGGCGCCAGGCGGCCAACACAGCCGCGGCTCGGCAGGGAGAAGAGAGGCGCACAGGTTCCAGCTTGTTGCATAGAACTGTGTGAAGGTAAAAAATGGTGTGCTCTATAAGTCAAATACCCTAGATAGGCCCCATTCTTGTATTTGAAAGCTTCTACAACTTACTGATCATACTACTGTACCAGGAGCTATGATTTAAAGGAACTAAAAACTATTTCAAGGGTTCCACCAAATTAAAAAGACTGAGAAAGGCTAGCCTAGAGGCTCTGATTACTGTGACAGTGCCCCCCTAAAGCTGGCCATACATGCAAGTTTAGGGTAATTTGGAAAAGAAAGATTGTTTTTTCCTAAAACTTGTCAAATCTCCCAATACAATAAGCTGCAGCCCTAGAACACACAACACCTTAGAAAAATTAATTTATTGAACAAAAAAACAAAACATGAATTTTTGACAATTCCTTTATTTAAAATATATTTTAAAACTATTTTAGAGTGTTGCCGATAGCAGTCCCACCCTTTATCTTACGAAGCTTCCAAAGGAACGTCTTAACCTTTATATGGCACCCACTACGCCCAAGGGTCCCAAGGTCCACCCTATATAAACACAAGCGAGAAGGGGGCATAGGCCTACCGAACATCCTTCTTTACTACCAAGCATCCCAATTGCTCCACCTAATTACTATCCACCGAGCAACTATTGTCCCACTATGGACCATGTTAGAAATCCCCAACTGCTCCCCAATTTCTCTACAAGCACTCCCCTGGTTACCAGCAGTGGATAGACCCCACTCTCTTAGTCCTCTATTGAAACATGCCCTGAAAGTGTGGTACTCATTGAAATACTCCTCACATCTGATATCACCGTCTTTACCCCTTCTCCCCTTATTTTCCCAACCATTATTTATCCCAGCATTTACCAACCCGACAATGGCTTCACGAGACTGTACGATTTTTATCGCTCATCTAACCTAAATGTGGGGGCGCCTAGATGAGACCTGAGGACCTGTGGAACAGACCTAAAATTAAAATCGAGGATGACCGACCGATGGACTCCCTACCTGATCCCTTTTCTTTACTTCTCTTCCCTTTGCCTTATACCGCATTGATGTTTATACATTGTGTTTGCATAATCGATTAGTTGAAAAAATGTTCGGGCAACTAATCGATTAGTTGCATTGACAATCACCCACTCTCTTTCTTTCTCTCTCTCCCACCAACCAATAATGAGAATAGTTGCCTACTATTCTCATAATCGATTATCGAGTTAATCGATTAGTTATTGCAGCCCTAGTGTGTTTATTTACATTTTATTAAACCCTTGACTGAATGAGTAGGGGTACAAGTACACCTTACTCATTCACAAGGGGGGGTGGCATCTGGGTGCACCCTATATGAAAGGGGGTACCCAGATGAGCCCTGCTGCCCACAGACCTCTACAACCACCAGGCCAGGGTTTTAGGGTAAAGGCCCTTGTCCCCATCGGCATGGATACAAGGTGCTTTTCCAGGGGGAAACGCACCCTCCCAGGCCTGGTATGGTGGAGGGAGGTGGGGCCACTTGCTCTTTCCTGCCCTGCCAGGCTGCTGCCCAGATTAAGGGCCTCGTATGGGATTTGGGGGGGACGGGACCGTGCACTGTTTTTTTACATCAGGGGTCCCCACGCTGTTTTTTTTTGGCTTTTGTTGTAAGAAATTAAAAATAGTAAATGTAATATCACTTTTCTGCAACACATTTTAGTTCATAATGATCATTTAAGTCATCCGAAATTAACGAAATTCGGATTGATCCGAATGCTGAAACGAATTGACTTTCCGGCCCGAAACGCGAAAAACAAAATAATTTAACAAAACTAAACTAAACAAATTTTTGTCTGGCTTACATGTTTAGTGACTTTGTCAAGCAGAGTGCTATGCAGTCACCCTTGTGTGTGCTAGTAACCTGTGTGTGTCTCCACAAACACAGAAAAAAAAAGCTACTTCCCTCCCCCCTGGCCCCCTCTCCATGCTAGTAGATAAACAGTTGCTGGAGTCTTCACTGCCCTTTGTGATCTTGTAGTGGACAGCAAGTTCAGGGATGTAACTTCCTGTCCACATACATTGTTGCAGCTGGTGACTATTTACATCTTTCCTAGCACAACTAATTGTCTATTTTATTAGGAAGTTCAGGGAAGCTGAGCGGAGAGACTTTGAAGCAGCTGTCAAAAACATGATGACCGTAACTGTTTGGGCAAAAATGTAAATCAATGCTTTGCTGGGCAATGTATTTTTGCTTGATCTGGATTCATTCTTGAAAAAAGGTTTGAGGGTTTAATACTACTTTAAGGCTGTGACATCCTAGCCTCCAATGCCGACTGGTCCTCAGCTGTTCCCTGCGCCTGTATCCTGCATCTCGTTTTGATTTCCTGTTACCGACCCAGCTTGTTTGACCTTCTGGATTCCTTGAAGTTGGCTCAGCTCTGACCATGTTCCTGTCTGCTGCTTTGCGCTTTGCAAGTTGCTGACCGGGCCTGTTCCCGACTACGTCTTGGTTGCTGTTCTTGTACCTCACTGCCAGACCATTGCTGACCCGGCTAGTCTTGGACTTCGCTACATAGCGGCACTTGTGTCGCTCTCGTTCTTGCACCCCTTTTCCACTCCCAGGGGCTCTCAGACTAGAGCTGCAAGAGGCCTCCCTTATCAACTCAGACTCCCCTAAGGCACGTAAGGGATTAATGTTTGTGTGACAATAGAAAACGATAGCAAATGGGCAATTTCTGAAATGTCCCATCACTATTTTACCAACTACTTTTGGCCAGAGGTGTCAGTTTAGTCAAGGATTGTTACCAGATCTAGCCATCTCATATTTATGGGCACCCTAGGACTACTAAAAATAGCGCAACACATATAGCCATGTTTTTAATAAACAATGTAATTGCTTTATCTGACAAACGAACTGCATTTTAATCTACAACTCTCCTCCAGTTAAAAGTCTTTTTTTTAGTGACTCACAGCAGTACTACATTCCTAACATGGTAAACAAGCCTCTATCTGGGATAGGTATCTACAGAAGATAACACATTGTGAAACTGTTTTGTTATCACCTGTGTACATGTGGAACTGGACATACACCAAATACTTTTCTGTCTGTGGTTTGTCTACTTTCAGCCACCTCCCCAAAAAGAGTTCAATGACCCCGATTTCATGCATGCTCCCAGGGGTAATGATTAGCAGAAATATTCATTTTATTTGTCAAGCTGAGGACTAATTGCAAAGTATAAGCCTTATTACACTGTAAATAATCTGCTTTTAAATTGTATGTATAAGATAACAATTAACTTCCTTTTTTAACTATTACATTTTATTTAAGTGTTTAGTTATACATGTTTGATAAATAGCAAAAAATACTTCCGGTCAGAAACCCAGTACCGCCCTGTGCTCACTGAAGTATTATCTTAAGCAATCTAATTTTCCTGCCCAGGTCACTTCTGAACTACAAAACAGCGCCATCTATGTTATTGTGATTGAGGGGGAACGAGTTCGGTAGTACTGAAATACTTCCTGTCCTAGGGTGACAACGCTGCTCCTCAATAGATATGGTGAGTGAGCATTGTTTTTTTTGAGTTTAATATATTTTTATTATTTTGTTTCCATAAAAGTACATTTAGACAAACATTCATAAACATTAGTTTCAAACTATCTCTTATTTTTAATAGTTATTTATAGCTCTAATTGAGATAACTACAACTTTCACCCACTTCCAATATCCATCACTAGTCATCCATCATATTTTACTTCCTCTATCACTCTCTTCTCATATATGTATATCTCACTATATCCCCTTATAGTGTCTACGTTCCTCTATTCTTATTTCCCTCATGTGTTCACTAGTGTGATAGCTAAACAATATACAAATCAATAATAAATCCTTTTATTTCAAACTTAAACCTTGTTCCTTCCTCCCCTCTTTCCTTATTTATAATGATCCTACTTTTATTGTGTATCCTAACTACTATTTAATTACCTACTTTTCTATACCCTATGTGTACTACCTTTCCCTTCTAGTGAGGGAGCATTGTTAACATAGGAAGAAGGTGTGTTACTAGCAGATCATTAGGTGAAAATAAAATGTAAACAATTTTCTTAAAACAGAAGGACTGGTAATAAATAAATGTTTGTTTTTGGTTTAAACATCCAAGATTTTTGTGTTCTCAAGAATGAAATATAGATGGGACCTGTCTTGCGGGCTGCTGACTCCAGTATAAGGAATTTTCCACTTTTTCCTGCAAGTGGAAAGTCCCTTTAAGTCATGTCTACCCATGTGTCACTTGAGGTGAAGTATCAAAATGTAGCGGTCACACAAGAGCGCTATTGTGTTGCACTTTTACTTGAACAGTACGAGATACAATATTTCTGAAAATCGAGTTTATTTCATATGAAGTCAGTTGGAACTTCTAGGAATTGTATGTAGAAGCGTACTCTGCAGTGGCGTAACCAGAGTTATGGGCGCCCGGGGCAGAACATTTTTTTTGCCCCCCCCCCATATTATATAAACATCCACTAGAACTGTACCCCCCACCTCCACACATATATATCAGCTAAGGAACTCCAAGTCCAAGCATGCCATCATTGTCCCTGTACAGCGCCCGGGGCAAGTGACCCCCCCGCACCCCCGGTTGTTACGCCACTGGTACTCTGTTATTATTAATAACATTTATTTGTACTTCATTTCACACTTTTAAAAAGCCTTTTCTATGTACCTCTCTGATGTAGTTTAACATTTTTAGGGGGGCTTC